CCTAGAGAGAGGAATCATCAAAAAAGAAGGTGGGAAATATCTCACAAGTAAAGAGAGTTCTAACTTTGATCCACTCAAGAAAGAAGAACACGAGAAATCTCAGCGCCAAGACCAACGAGAGTGACGAAGCAGCAGAAGCAATAAAGCGGAGTCGGGTCGGTTCTTCATCAATGACCTCAAGTATAGTATCCAAATTAGTTAAGTCGGTACAAATCATAATGGGCTCCTTAGTTTGTGGGCTAAGAAAATTATGTACCAAACCAAACCGGGACCAGGTCAAAGAGCAACTAATGGTTCCGTTAATGCGTTCACGCCTGACAAGTTTGAAGATCGTTCGTGGCTGCAAGTTGTAATCTTCCAAGCTCCGGTGGTGTTCGTTAGGGCTGGGCATGAGACGGGTACCCTGAGAATTTGGGGTACCCGATACCCGATCCGACCCTAACGGGTATTTGAAAAACAATACCCTTATCCGACCCGCAAAAAACGGGTACCCTATTAAACGGGTACCCGGCAAAAATCCGTTGACCCGCCGGGTACCCGACTTGTTACCCTTACCCGCTTTGTTACAATAAAATTTATCTATAGTTGTGATTAGGAAANTTTTATACCAAAAGAATGAAGAAGTCATTANAAAAAGAGGAAGAATTCCTCTTAATAGGCAACATATAGTTCAAAAGATATAAAATTACAAACTTTAAACCTTAAAGGTTGTAATCTATCATTTCTAAAATCATCAATGATAATTCAGAAACACAAAAAATTCATGTTGCGAGGATCATTCTTCCATAAGATTGCTTCTTCCATAAGATTGTTTCTTCCCTTATATTTACTTACCTACGAATGAAAACAGACAGTAAGTTTTGACTTGCATAATACAAACAAACGAGTGATAATAAACAAAACAAAAATCACCAACAAGTTAATATCACAAATTTCAGCTTGGTATCTAATTAATACTAATGTAACTTACCTAAAAAAGTTGAGACTCATTCATCTGCCAAGGAAAGAGTAATTCCTTGGAATAAATTTGTAAACTCTATAAAACAGAAATAATTTGTTAGTTTATAAATAAATGAAAACATCCATAAAAGTTTAAACATTTTGAAAACTTACCATTTTCTAGAGTCTCAAGCTCTTCCATTGGCTCTTCCTCCGAAGAACGTTGCGGATAATCTTGTCGAATCCAATCTTGA